GTTTCTGTATAGTTAGGCCTAGCGAAGGCTGGATTAGGTAATTTGGTATTCTTTGTATATTTTGCCAGTGTGTGTATTAGGAAGGTATAGAGGTACAGTTGACACACAACATGTAATGGAAGCACTGCTACAGTAAGGTCTGCACTTGATAAGCTGCGAGTTATTTCTCTATGTTTTCTTGATGTTTTTACGGTATAAAGAAGCTGTTGTATTACCAGGCATTTGGTCAATGTTTGTGAGCGCTGCCTGTAACACTTGAGCCATCACTGCCACTTGACTCTTAACTGTCGCGTTAAGACTTTGCTTCAACACTCCCTCACTCCCCTGCACTGTACGAGGCACACCTTCACATGCACGCCCTCCTAGCCCGTATATACAAGCCAAATACAAACATCCTTCTTAACCTACACATGGCTCAAGTATACCTGGAAAATACCTGGAGAGGGTTTCGGGAGTTCTACTCCACTAACCAGGCCTGGGGCTAGGCTCGACCTCAAGGGTTAGGTTAGGTTAGGTTAGCACACATGGAGTAAGTACTGAGCTGCCTTAAACGAGCCCAAAGAGAAATTCTATGACTCACTAATAACCACATTCAGTGAAGTAATCAACACAGGACTAGTCCCTTGTGCGTGGAGGGTGACCAACGTGGCCCCAACACTGAAGACAACGGACAGATCTACTGCTGTGAAATATCATCCGGTTAACTTGACGTCAATCATAGGAAAGTTTCTTGAAAACAGCGAATTTGATAAGAAAGCTCCGCAACTCGTGAAGCGTTCTGAAGAACTCTCAACATGTTTCTTATACAAGGGTATACGAGACAGTCAACATTATCATCAGCTGTAGACCACCTACACCCCCAGCAAGCACTACACACACCACCTACACCCCCAGCAAGCACTACACACACCACCTACACCCCCAGCAAGCACCACACACACCACCTACACCCCCAGCAAGCACTACACACACCACCTACACCCCCCAGCAAGCACCACACACACCACCTACAACCCCCAGCATGCACCACACACACAACCTACACCCCCAGCAAGCACCACACTCACCACCAACACCTGTAGCAAGCAACACACACACCACCTACACCCCCAACAAGCACCACACACACCACCTACACCCCCAGCAAGCACCACACACACCACCTACACCCCCAACAAGCACCACACACACCACCTACACCCCCAGCAAGCACCACACACACACCACCTACACCCCCAGCAAGCACCACACACACCACCTACACCCCCAACAAGCACCACACACACCACCTACACCCGCAGCAAGCACTACACACACCACCTACACCTCCAGCAAGCACTAAACACACCACCTACACCCCCAGCAAGCACCACACACACCACCTACACCCCCAGCAAGCACTACACACACCACCTACACCCCCAGCAAGCACTACACACACCACCTACACCCCCAGCAAGCACTACACACACCACCTACACCCCCAGCAAGCACTACACACACCACCTACACCCCCAGCAAGCACTACACACACCACCTACACCCCCAGCAAGCACTACACACACCACCTACACCCCCAGCAAGCACCACACACACTACCTACACACCTACACCCCCAGCAAGCAGTACACACACCACCTACACCCCCAGCAAGTACTACACACACCACCTACACCCCCAGCAAGCAGTATACACACCATCTACACCCCCAGCAAGTACTACACACCCACCTACACCCCCAGCAAGCACAACATACACACCACCTACACCCCCAGGAAGCACCACACACACCACCTACACCCCCAGCAAGCACTACACACACCACCTACACCCAAACAAGCACCACACACACCACCTACACCCCCAGCAAGCACTACACACACCACCTACACCCAAACAAGCACCACACACACCACCTACACCCCCAGCAAGCACCACACACACACCACCTACACCCCCAGCAAGCACTACACACACCATCTACACCCCCAACAAGCACCACACACACCACCTACACCCCAGCAAGCACCACACACACCACCTACACCCCCAACATGCACCACACACACCACCTACACCCCAGCAAGCACCACACACACCACCTACACCCCCAGCAAGCACTACACACACCATCTACACCCCCAACAAGCACCACACACACCACCTACACCCCCAGCAAGCACTACACACACCACCTACACCCCCAGCAAGCACTACACACACCACCTACACCCCCAGCAAGCACCACACACACCACCTACACCCCCAGCAAGCACCACACACACCACCTACATCCCCAGCAAGCACTACACACAGACAGCACCTACACCCCCAGCAAGCACAACATACACACCACCTACACCCCCAGCAAGCACTACACACACCACTTACACCCCCAGCAAGCACTACACACACCACCTACACCCCCAGCAAGCACCACACACACCACCTACACCCCCAGCAAGCAGTACACACACCACCTACACCCCCAACAAGCACC